GTAAGTTTTAACGTTACACACGGTAATTTTACCGCAAGCTTGTCCACAAAAAATAGCGGTTCGAATCGAAAACTCTTACAGCAAATTACAATAATCGCATGGAGCTATCGAGCGCCTTGTTATATTTATGCTCTACTTTGGCTCCCATCATTTGATAGCTAGTTATTAGTGTCAGTTTATTTGAAACGAAGCGGCACAGGTTCTTGTAATTTTTATGCTGCACTATTTTCTTTCGTAGTGTTTTGCTTGTGTGGAAATTAGCCATGAGGCGGCCATTTTTAAAGTAAACTCCGCTGAAACAGGTAATGATAACATCACCTCGCCCTTGTGTTTACCATAATTGAATCGTAAACACGATGTACTACCGAATCAATAATTCAAAAACTTCTAGGAAATGGTGCTAGTTTTACATGAAATCCATGCTTTAAATTGATAATGTGGGGAGAAACATCGCCATTATCGATTATGCAATTCCACTCTCATGTGACGAAAACCGAGCAAATAAATTTTATTTAGCAAGCGTTTGTTGACATCCAATCCTTACGGCCCAATGAAAGATGCAACTTTTCGAAAACTTACGATACATTCAAGTAATATTTTAAGCGAAAATGAGATAACTGATGCAAAGTCAGCGTCGTGTGTGTGAACACTGAGGCAAAATGCAAACATTTCTTCGTCTTCATTTGCGTTTAAATTGAAAAGTGGGCTTTCACAAAGCCTGCGAACTCTTGACTGTGTTAGTCCTTTCAAAAGAATATGTGTGGAAATCTTAAACAAACAGAGTAAGATTCGCAAAATATTAGGGGACTGGGACATTTCTTTTGTTGGTGTGCTGCGAGAATTTCAGAGATACAACAAAACCGCAACATGCTGGCGAATTTAAAATAATAATTTGTTGTAGCTGTTAATCTTGGAACGGGACAAATTATGACATATTGCAATTGAATTGGAATTATTCATAAAGTTATTAAATCATGTTGGTTTAAATAGTTTATAAAATTTTGCGGTGTTGTACGTGGTTAGAATGTGGCGTGTTACAGGCAGCGCTGACGTAGTAATTATATACGAGTGAATTTTATGTAAAATTTCAGCTAAAATTTGTACTACACAATTTTTATGTCAAGGCTTACAGCGACACTGAATTACGGATGAACTTTAGACATTTTATTCTGTTGAGGTTCTTTGGATATAAATTATCACATGTAAACCACTTGATTTTGATAAAATTTGTGTTTTTTTACAAATAAAATTGTTTCTTCACTAAGTCAGTGCACCGGTAAAAGATGTTACTAATTATGTATGTAATTGTTATATAAGTAATAATACACACATACATTTCAGAATGTTATATTTACTTAAAATATCCTATCCTTTTATTGTCCTAATATGTACAGTAAATCGATTTTTAGTAGACTAAAAAATATTTAAAAATTATGTTCTGAACCGAATTTCGCGAAGAATGAAGTTGTTTAGTTTTTTCAAAAATCTCATGGAAAATAATTCAAAATTGTAGAACAAAATTTCACAATGAAACCACTGAATCGATTGTTCTAAAATTTTTCTTTAAGGTTAGTAGGGTTATGGTAAACTGGTAATCAGAATTCACGTATTTATCCCTTTCAAAAACTTGATAATATCATTTCAGCCTTTGTTCAGTAAATATTGCTTTTTAAAATTTGTTTTTTTACAAAAAACGACGTTGCAATTTATATGTATTTTTAAAAATAAAAACTGTAACACAAAACTACACGACTACCTATACAGCGACTATGTACAAAATAGTTCCAACTCGACTGGAATCGATTTGACTAGACGGTACTTTTCTTAATGACGGGACTCCACTGGTCGTTCCTGGCGGTGGTCCCTATTTAAACAGCCACCGCTCCTTTCTAGATATTTCGTGATCCAGGTTCTTCTGGAGCGCCGATCGCGATTTCCGTTTCCGCCGCCGTCCGTGATGCTGAGCTACCAACGCTCATCAGTCATCACCGTCCATATTAGGAAAGTCATTGGCGTCGTACTGGGACGGCGAATTGGTTTATTTCGTAACACTATTTTATTTTGCAAATGTTGCACCCTATTAACTGGAGTTTGGTAAACTATTTGTTTAACTATGTTCCACAAAAAATCCTAAAGGCATGATTTCTGGAAGGCCAGGGATTTTTAACACGTGGCCCTCCTGGCCCATCTGTTAAAAAAAGGCCATATGAAGGGAATCTCACACCCTTCTATGATGACTATTTAAACTATAAATGTTTTCGTATTTCCAATTTAACTTTTTCGAGTGGTGATAGTAAATACTCACTTATCCGCTTCCGCGGTTATCGTTAGGTGTCGAGGTGTTATTCACTAATTATATAACTTTTATTCACAATCACTCTGTAACATACAACTTTTCTGACCTCTGAACCGTTAGAAAGTTAACGCAAATAACATTAATTAAGATGACACTATAGGCATATTATTTTCTCGCACGATGCCATGAGCTGTGGCTATGGTGCATAGACTTTGACAGCCTTGACAACTACGATTCTGTGGCTACGATTAACGCAACGGCCGGCTTGAAATTAGCCCGTAAATAAATACGCGACTGGTAAAGATAACACATTTTTCCTTTACAAAGTGAACTATTTATTTATATGTAACACAACCAACAGAAAAATAAGTAAGTATAGCAAAATTTAAGACTTGTTATTAAAATAAAAATTAAACGTAGCATTGTCATGCCCTTCGATATTAAAAGAAATGCCTTGATGCATGTCTTCTTTTGAAAAATAGAACTGCTGAGAACTGGACGATGGGCCAGGGACAGAATCATTTGGCACCTCTTGAACACTTGCAGAGTCTTGGGTAGAACCCTTTTTGGACAGCATATTTGCGATTCTTAGTTGCCCATCTAAGGAAGAATTTACATAACTTTCGGCGACCGTAGTCGATTTCCATCCTCCCGGTTTTTTTAATTGAAGGATGTCTCCGCCACTATTTGCAAACAATGTTGTTGCTGTTCGCCGGAAAGCATGGCCAGTGTATGTATTTATGTTGTTTAGTTTTAAATAACTTGCGATTTTTTTTGGAAATTGAGAAACTGAGTTGTGACCATATGGCTGTTTTGTCAATTTGCCATTCCTTAACTGTAAGAAGAATCGATTACCCTCAACATTCCTGCGTAGATTAACGTAACTTTTTAAAATGTTTATCCATTCGATATCTGTTACAATAAATGATCTCGGTTGATACGTTTTTGTGTTTGGAATCACAATAATTACTCTTTGGTCTTGTAGATCTACATCATCGGTTTTCATTTTAAATAACTCGTCAATGCGGCATGTTCCTGAGATCCGATAACCAAAGCAACCTAGAATATTTAAAACTGTAATACAAGTCAAAAAATACATACCTACCTATGAACCATACCTTCTGTGGCAGAAACTGAAACGGAGCGTTTTTCAAAAAGTTTTCAACATCTTGTTTTGTAAATATACTGGATTTTCTGGGATGATACCCTACATTTTGTTTTTACTTCCCGAGCGTAAGCAAAGGAAGTATTGTAATCGAGTCCGTCGGCCGACTCTCTACTTTTACGTTTTCTCGATCTTTCATGACCCCTAGAAGACGAAGAAATAGGTCTCCCATTTCCGTCTGTCTGTCCGTCCGTCTGTCCGTCCGTCTGTCCGTCTGTCCGTCTGTTGTCCCGGATTTTATTAGACAGATAATCTCCGAAAGTACTCGACCGATTGTTGTGAAATTTTGTACTTATATTAAGAATATCATGTAGATGGTAAAACGCTAACCAAAATTTGTCTAATCATCCCCACCACTAATGCGATGACGTCACTTCAAAATTGTACATAGTAAATGGGCTTTCAATTGTATAAAATAACATAGTCCTACACATGTAGTTTACAACTCTGAATCGACTTTTCACCCGAAACGTCCAGATTTTTGGAAAAAAAATCAAAATTATAAAATAACATTTTGAAATTTAATTTTTAATCTGCTAACCAGAATGCTTTGAAATGTTGCAGATGTTTTAAGGCTATAAAGAGCATCATAAATCTTTAGTCAAAAAATATTTGCTTATCCCCTCCAAAAACTTGATGACGTCAGCTCAAAAGTTTGTGGAATAAATCATATCTAAAATGTACAAAATATGATGAGTCTGTACTTGTGATCTATCACTCCATTCATATTTTTTGGATTTGCATATACAGGGTGACTCAAAAAAATTAATGAATGCGTAAATATATTTTATTGATTTAATCAGGAACTACAAAACCGAATGCTTTGAAATCTTGCAGATGTTTTAAGGTTATAAAGAGCATAATAAATGTTTAGTCAAAATATATTTGCTTATCCCCTCCAAAAAATTAATGACGTCAGCTCGAAAGTTTGCCGAATAAATCCTATCTAAACTGTAAAAATATGATGAGTCTGTACTTGTAATTTATCACTCCATTCATATTTTTTGGATTTGCATATACAGGGTGACTCAAAAAAATTAATGAATGCGTAAATTTATTTTTTTGATTTAATCATGAACTGCAAAACCGAATGCTTTGAAATCTTGCAGATGTTTTAAGGTTATAAAGAGCATAATAAATGTTTAGTCAAAATACATTTGCTTATCCCCTCCAAAAAATTGATGACGTCAGCTCGAAAGTTTGCCGAATAAATCCTATCTAAACTGTACAAAATATGATGAGTCTGTACTTGTGATTTATCACTCCATTGATTTTTTTTGGATTTGCATATACAGGGTGTTACGTATTGAAAATTCGCAGTAGCTATTTCGGTTTTTTTATTGGCATTCTCGGATCGGATTACATTTTGTTTACTCGTTTTTTTTTTGTTTCGTCATTTCGTGCAATGGGTGGTTGGGTTGGGCACGGTGGCAATGAAGGACAACTTTGGTGGAGGGTTCGTCCCGAGCTTTTGACTCCCCCAGTCGCAAGACTGTCGCGATGATTCTGAGCTTGGAGGGGCTCAGATGAGTGTTTCAGCCTCGCTGTTTGTAGATCGGTCTTCTGGATCGTTTCAGCTTGGTTCTTGCTATAAGGAACTGGATGGATCGCGCCATCCCAGAGCTTCACTCTGAAATTCGATTTTCGTTCTGTTTGTTATTTTTGTTCGCGAATTTCATTTGCTTACCTAGGTGGGAACAAACGCCGTGGAGCGTCCCCTAGAGTCTTCGTCATTTCTGGAATCTTGATAGCCTTGTTTGTTTTTTTTTTCTTTTGTTAATAACCATCGCATCCACTCATTAGTTACATCGATTAGGGATTTTCGTCGGAATTCGACGTTTCGTAAGTTTGCCACTAGAGGGCCAAACTTCCGTGAACTCTCGCTTCGTTACCTTGCCACGTCATCGCAGGTGGAAGGGAATCCATTTTGCTTTGGTACTCCGTGTTGAATGGTGTTGGGGGTTAGTGCTTTCCTCTTTTGCAGTTCGTTTTAGCAACCTTTTATTTGGTGTTACGTTTGGAATCGCATTCGTCGGATCTGTTGGGTCCCCTAAAAGGTGCTATCGCTGGGAGCGCATTTGTGAGCTGTAAAAGAAATAGTGCGTTCGAGCACTACGACTTCGTCGGATTTTTTGTTGATTAAGAGCACTAGACCATCCCGCTAAAATCGGAGAAGCTGCAGTCGATCCGCAGGTAAATCTTTTGATTAGCTTTTCCCTGGCATCCCTTCGAACAGAGGTTATGGTTATTTTCATGTTAACGATAATATTTTACTACTTACCAAGTGCATGTGACATGTGGAACCCTTGGGGTTGACTGAGTTCGAACATCTTCTCAGACTTTGCTCTCCTTGCAGCTTTTTTTTGTTTTGTCGCTGATCTTGTTATTCCCGTGATCGAGAATTGGAGCCAGTTTTGAGTGGGAGAACGAATTCTATGAATTCCGACTGTCGTGGGCAGTTGTGAGCCCTCCCAGAACCGCTGGAGAGTTACCATCGGTTGGACCGGCCGTCACCCAAAAACCTCGACTCGACATCGACTGGGAATTCGCTGCGACGCCGCTGTGTTTCGACATCTCGTCGTGGATATCGAAGGAGGCAGGTGCCCATGGTACTTCCATTCTCATTAAGTTTAAGTATTAGTCGCCTTACCTTTTTCTTTATTGTATCGCAAAACGTTTCGAAGTTCGGCGTAACTAGCACTCGCACATAACCTAGTAATAACAACCGGTAAGACTGTGACGCTCCGCTCTACGTGATACCTTCGTACGTTCGTTAGGACTACCGAGCGTGTGGCCTACTTCGTTTATCTCATAGCCCTCGAAATAATTAATCAAATCGTTATTCGTTACGACTCCAACTAATTTGTTCGCTTCGTAAACATCGTTCGTATCGCTCGTATTTATCGTTAATTAGTTCGTCGCCTTTCGTAATTAAACTATCGTTCGTATTGCTCGTATTTATCGTAAACAGTTAGTCGCATTAAATCATTATCATTAATATCTTACTCATTTTCTTTTGCTTAATTATTTAGTTATTTCTCACTCTTACTTGTTTTCTTTTTAATTAGTGACCTTAGGTTTTATTGTAATCAAATATTTTAAGTAACAGCTTGCAATTACAATAGTTAAATATTTTTCCGGTTTTTTGTTGTTGTAATTGTGTCTTAATAAAAACTGGTGGCGCCCTGGCGACGTCGCTACACAAAACAGTGTGCTCTCTCTTCTTTGCGAACCTCTAGCGACCCGACCCTTTGCACCCGCAGGAACTCACCCCTTCTCCACTAGCAGGCCGGCAACGAGCTGTGAGTTTGGCTCGTAACAAGGGTGACTCAAAAAAATTAATGAATGCGTAAATTTATTTTATTGATTTACTCAGGAACTACAAAACCGAATTCTTTGAAATCCACTGCGAAAAAAAAACATAATAGGCATGCAGTCGTCACGTTTCCGACAGCGAGGGAAGTACTGTCTAAACTCTTTAGACCAATTTTTTTAAATATGCTATTAATTTAGCATATTTTGAAATGTCGATGTTGTTTTTAGAACTAATTGTGCTTTTTAACATCGAGTAAAGGGCCCACATGGTGGATGGCTTTTTCGATTTAGTTGCGTCGCCAAAGTACGCGAGTAAGACGCTTTCTGATGTAAAGTTTTGGGCCCCCTTTTCCAAGCACCACTCACGGAAATTTTTGTACGCTTTTTCCTAGCGTGCTTTACTTTTTTCTGGTAGGAGATTCAACGTAATTTGTTGTGCGGATTCCCGCAATTCTGGCGGGGTACATTCCATCTCACTAACAGACATTTTGTAAGTATTTCTTTAAAAAATATAAAATTAAATTTTGGCAATTTGCTGTCACTTGTTAACTTTTAATAAAACGTCATTCGTGCAGCGCCTACTATGTGTTAATATTTTACCGAAATAAGCCATAATAACTATAATGGAGGTAGGTTTTTATTATTATAGTGTTGGTTGTTTAATTAAATGATTGTGAATAAAATAGTATACAAACCTCGGCGAAAGTATCATTCCTGTCTCGAGAACTAGTTCACCTCGAGGCTGTGCCTCTCGGTAAACTATAGTTCTCTCGACAAGAATGAAATACTTTCTGCCTCGGTATGTAATATACTATTAACATTTTCCGTTTTAGCATTTTCTGACCTTATTACTCCCATACACTCTCTCTATACACCTTAGCACTTTCATCTCCCATGGTGTAGGACTCGTTCCCATGGATTAGTGTTAGTACCTATACTGTTTTCCTTATCTTTGCTTTTGTGTTTCTTTTTTGCAGAAAGATATTTTCAATATTCTGAATAGTCTAACTACATTTTTCAGTCAGTTATTAATAGCACATTCCTCGTTTCCCCTACATTCTGGATCTAGATTCTAATTACGAAGGCTGAATAGCCAGCCGACACTTAGGCCTCATCTTTGCGCTCATTGTGCCTCCCCCTGTTAATCATGATGTTTTTTGTTCCTCTATTTGTTAAGCTAGTCAACTTTTTGGATCTCGTACCTAATGGGAACTTCCTAATTTTTGCCATACCACGCCAGATGTCCCCTAGTGTGGATTTTCTTTAGGAGGCTAATTTTCGACACTCACGAGGAATGTGCTCAGTTGTTTTGGGTCTGTTACTACCCCTATTATATGTAGATGTTTATAAAACTGGTAATATCCCGTAAGGAACCATACTAGTTTACCCAAGAACTTTCTGCCACTTGTCTTAACAACGTTTGTCATATTTCTATAGACATAGATCTTGGATAGTCATCTGGGGCTCTTTGTAATTTCATATTTTGCTAGGCAGCTCCATATTCATTTTGTCGGTAATGTATCAAAAGCTTTTTGCATATACCATAGATCGCATAGATCCTTTCCTAGCAGTACTTCCTCTCCGATCTGCTGCAGACTAAACATCCAGTCTTGGGTACCTTTTTCTGGATGAAATCCAGATTGATTCTCTTGAATATTCTCTGCCAATTGGTATCTTATTATTTCTCAAGAATTCTCTCACAGACCTTACTTGCTATGCTTAGTAGGGAAATGCGTCTGTAATTAAATAGTATATACCGCTTTTCCTTTTTGGCGATTCACAGCAGCTGCACGACCAGTAGCAGCTCAGGTCCTGACTGAGTTTAGACCATTTATTATGTCTCAGGTGACAATTTATCGGTGTGGACTGCCTCATTAATGCCATCTCATGTTTGATTTATGACTTAGACGTACTAGCGATTTAGACCATATTTGGTAGTTCTCTAAGGGTTACGAAATTTTAGCGCCCGTAAATCTTCCGAATTTACGCCAGGGAGGCCAGAGACAGTGCTTGTTTTCTTTTGGCTGTATCTGTTTTTTCTCATAAGTTCCCTACTAACCGGAGTATTATTTATTTCTGGTGCAGTCGCCCACGAGACGCTCTGGACAACCGTTCCTCTGGATTAGAGTACTTCGAGATGCTTTCTCTTCGGACAGGGAGCTGGCGCCCGAGCAAACCAACCCGTAGAAGGCGCCGCAACTGTGACGTAACAGCGACCTTATCGCCAAGACCGGCCAAGCGTGTCTGAACAGCACTAGTCAATCTAGGGCTCGGCGCTGACGTACGCCACATTCCCATTTCAGATATCGACGAAAAAAATATTAGTACTATCGTCACAAGTCTCCAGTCATTTGGCATATTTTTTATATTTGCATTTCTCTATTTTTCGTAAAAACGCCTGTTTCCTTCTTGTCCTATATACTTAAAAGCATCTCCGGGTTAATTCCATCCTCTCCTGTCGACTTACCATTTTTCACTAAAGTTTTCCGCCTTTATTCTTGATAAACTTGTATGTTCCCTTTTTATTTTAATCTCTTCACAAGTTCTTGAGGGTCATATGCAATATTTTGGAGTTTGCCTGTGCTTGAAGTTGCATCGTAGTCCCAAACTCTTTCAACGTTTTCGCTTAGTCTCGCCTTTTCTTGTTTCACCAACTTTTTGATTTTTTCGTTCCACCATAGGGTTAGTTTCTTTTTATTTGCACATACTTTTGAAGCTGCTTAAGTTGTCGTAATTTTAAAGCTGTCCCATAATGTTTCTATATCTTCTGCCAATTTTTCCTACGAACCTCTGGTCATACTCCTCCTGGCATTTTATCGCGTTGTTTTGTGTTGTAGTTTATAATTTCTTCTGTTGATAATATCTTCTTTAGTATGTATTTCTCCATTTCTATTCTCATTCTAAACTCGACGAGGAAGTGATACGGTGCTATTTCTACCCCCTTTTAACTCTTACGGAATTCACATCCCTTGGACATTATTGTTCTGACTAGTACTAAATCAATAAAATCGATTTCACATTTCTTTTTAATTTCATGCCTTAATTCCGATACTATACTCCTGTTTCCCTAGCTCCTTTAACACAATCTTTTCATTTTTATCTTGGTCTTCCTTTCTTGTTCTTTCTTGGTACATACGACTCATACACTTTTTTACTTAAACGGTCATTTGTCATACGGTCTTAGCTGTCTTTCTATCTTAACATTTATCGGTTTAATTTATAATTTCCGTCAGTATGTCTCACTTCTTATATTACCGCTAATGGTTTTGTTTCCTCTTTTTTTAAAAATCTCATGTCAGGAGCATCAAGATGGCTTTCGTTTTTGCAGTTGTCTTTTACCACTTTTTCTAGTACATATTTGTATTCTTACTTATTTCGGTGTTTTCTGTTTTCTAAAAATGTTGTTCTCATCTTGTTAAACATTGTTCCTGTTTTTTTTCATTTCTTGGTCTATTTTTCCGTTGCTTTCTTTATTGTATCCAAATGTTTGTAACTTTGCATTTGTTCTATTATTGTTTCGTCAAATACCATAGAGTTTCGGAGGGCACTCAGCACACACCCCTGTTTCACTCCCATATTTGTTTTAAATTTTGATTCTTCGTTCCGTAAATTTTGATTCGTGGACGAGTGGATTGTGATAGGGGTGAAATTTGTTTCCTTTCAGTATTTGGTGCACAAATGAGTTTTCTTGGCTCACATGAGAATTCTTGTTCACAAATTCGAAAACCGCCCTTTTATTTACCGTCCCTATACTACCGAGCAGTCAAGGAAGTGGTTTTTCTGAATCATATCAGTTTTTTCATCGTTTTAATACATTTTAGTTTCCGACAAACAACGGCGTTCAAAAGATGGTAAACGTCAAAACTTGAATGGCGAGCATTTTTGATAAATTAAAAAATTAATCTATATGACCCCTGAAGATGTATTTTGGATTACATCCTCGGTTTGATTAAGCTCATTATTACTCGTGAATCACCCTGCATTGATGACAGTATCATATTATACACCACTGCCTTTTAGTATTTACCGGATAGATTCAATATTGTTATTTAATTACGTTAATTAATTTTAATATTCAATTATTTGGTCTTCTTTATTTAATAAATATTAT